CTATACCAGTTGTTAGAATTTTTGAGATCAGACTTCGACATTGATACTTCGGTTGGTACAGTTGCAATATTTTCAGTGTTACTGTTAGTAATATCATTTTGGTCGAGTATGACTGACTCAGGATCAGAAAGTTCAACATGTTGTGACGTCTACGAGCTGCGAGCTCAGTAAATTTATTTGGTTCTGCGACTCCATTTGGTTGCTGTTTTCGATCTGAGCATTTTAAACAAAGATAGTTGCCCTGGGGCATTTGCTGACTGCTGTAGCGTCTTTCTTTTGCCCTCGATCGCTTTTGATGACCGGATTTCATCGACCTCTTCATTATAAATTTAAATTTTCGCTTTACAAATACAAATGGACTGTAAAAATATTCAATGGCTACGAAGTACGAAGCTTCTATAGTGCATGTGCGCCACAGGCTACCAAATCTATTTCTTCATAATATTTCCTTACAAGTCATTGATGTGAAATCCTACCCTGTTTTGTGATTTTGGTAAAATTGAGAATTCACAATCAACATGAACACCGTAGTAAATTATATGGATTCTTATCAACGTAAAACCTATTTACTCTTGATAGTTCATTCATGTGCAACTTGGGCACTGGCTTTGGGGCAATATGCCATTTTTTTCTTCAGTGGTGGGGCAAAGGAAAGGGCCCAGTGGGGCAAAATGCACCACCAGTCTATGGTACTAAAAGATGCCCTGGGAAACTCGCCTGGCGTTATTTTGATCACAGACGCGAGTCTATACTTCCCTTTCTAACTTTCCTGTCCAAACAGACAGGTATGAATTTGACGGGCATCCCGTCTGGATGAGAAACTCGTCTTATTAATTTGAATGTAGATGTATAAACCAGACAAGCTTTTCAAATATATAACAAGCCGACAAAGACAAAACTATATTATCATGCATAGCGTAGGGAAAATAAACAAACTGATTATCGTAATAACTACCGCAGCTTTTTAATACTCGAACATTCCTTTAAATATAACCATCCCTATTCATATTTTGATGGACTTTCCCAGTCAAATTTCCCGTCTTAAGATGAGTTTCCCGTCCCTAATAATTATGAAGTCAGATTGTAATGGTCAGACCCAATATGCAGCAAAGTTCATGTCAAACGCCTACGTGCGACGTCCGAAAAACTCACAAATCCTTGCTTTATCGTTGTTTTTTTCTATAAGACAATAATTATCGTTCGACAGCACGTAAAAACTATACAAAAAAATTTATATTAACTATATACATGTGTAATAATATTCTTGTATGTTTGCATGGTGACATCAATAAGTAAATTAGCTTGTAGGTACACAACCGGTTGGTATTTAATACCGTAAAGCTTTCGGTCTGTTAACCCGAGCCTTCATCAGTGCAATTATACCTGACTATATACACATTTACACGTTTCACTTACCAAAGGATTATGAAGCTTTCGACAATGAACTATATCGTTGTCTTTTTCAGAGTAAAATTATAGTTATCCTTAATTCTCTTTTTGTACCTTTCCAATTCTGTTACTCTGTGCTATTGGCATGTTTTAAATTTTCTTTTAATAAATTTTACGAGTCAATTTTTCGTATATTTTCAAGATCATCTCAGTGAAATATATTATTTCAAAAGTTTTAAAATTCTAAATATCACTCATGCCTATGGTTACGCGCACCAGCACAAAAATTTTGATTTAGCCCATCGCACGTTTGCAAACGTTTGCTAGATTCCACGTTCAACTCGTCTTAACCTGCAAAAACGCCCAACGTACATGAATAACGGTGCACAGCTTCAATTTCGCATTTGTATTCCCGCACGGAGTTGGTTTAAATCCTGATCGTTCATAATCAAGTCAGAATTCGAATTTAATCCGGGCAGTAACAAGACGATTGATTGCCGAAAGTGGAATAAAATTGAACAACTCTTTGTCTGTAGAATTGTATAAACAAGGAACCTTCCAATCACACAGACGAATATATACAAATGATGTTTCGTCACAATTTTCTCCCACTTTACCCGCGCATACGCTGACAGGTATTCTCAGGCTACAATTTTCAAGATTATCGAATCCATTTCATCACCTCATCGTTTTAATCGAAATACTTCATCAGACTATACTTTGCAAATCCATATAATGGATGGCCGGTTTTTCGTTAATCGTTGCCAAATAGCAAGTAGCTATATAATTTATCCAGAAACATGAAAGTATATATTTATAATGATAATTGAGTTGCAATAATGCAATTCGCAAAGAAATTTGCACGATGTAAAGCCCTCTATGGAAATATGGAATCTCAGCAATATATATGGTGTTAACAATTTTGGGTTACTTGGAAAACCATTTACATTCATTGACAGTATCTTTTTTCGAGCAACGTTACGCCGCTGTTTGTTAACCTTGCTTTCTATTCGATCACAAAAGATCGAATATGGCATGCGTTTTTTTATACACCCTACATGAATATTAGCGTGCCGCAAGTATACTCCTTGTTCAATATTAAAGCTGTAAACTGACGTTCCCTTGACAATCTGTTCATGTGGCCGTGACGATCTAAATAGCGGCTTTTTCTCGCGCGGGCGGGAACATAATATTATAATACCTCGGGCAACTAACATAATAATAACCACACTTTGTTTCGCGGTTTGGTCGATGTTATTCATGGCGATTGTGGAAGTTGGAAGATTAATATGAACAAGTTGTACATGCACTATAGCTATGTATAGCATGACTTTGAATGCTCGAATAAAAAAACAATTAACTGTTGCTGATTAAAAGTCGTCTATAAAAGGTATAAACTAGCAAATTCTCCAGATAGAAGATACAGAGGAAAGCGTGTTGATAAGATGTGAAATAACACACCGGGTATAAGAATCTTGCTCGTTACTGGTTTTTTTTTTGCATAGAAGTGATAATGTTTGATTGGAATTAAAATCGTATTCCCCATAAGGCCAAACTAGATTGAAAGTTGCATTGCTACATATAATATAGCATTCTATGCTATAGCTATAATTGCATCCATCTTTGTATGTGGGTCATACTTGTTTTATCAAAACATGGTCTATTAACTTCTGAAACATGCCATTTTGAATTCTACAATGAAATGAGTTATGGGCACTCCAAACCCTTTCCATCAAAGAAAAAGCCGGGTTTACACAACAAGGGCCGGTTGTATAAAATTCTTTAAAGTGCCTATATCACTTGTGGGATCTTTACGGATTTGAATAGAGCTTGAAAAATTAGTTTATAAGTTCTACAACCCTTTTTGATATAATTAAATAGTTTCGGAAACATTTACATCTAAACATGACGATTTGCCTAAATTTCCGTCGTGCTCGGGGGCCTAGGACTCGGGAACCGAGTTCTTGTCGAACATATTATAATCAATTGTAATTTTACTTCTGTTAGCATATTAGTCATGACGATGGATAAACTATAAGTCGGATTGATATCCCAAATCTTTATTATAACATCTTTTGTCTTACAAGCAATGGCGTTAGAACAAGAACAACAACATGTGGGAGATGATCACATGACACTTACGTCATGTTGTATTACGCAATATGTTTATGACTTAACAACTTCGATCTTCCAAAAACGTAAAATATTTTGAGAAAAACTCGCCCAGTTGCTACAGCCATACACAACGCACTGTTGCCGCATTTTTTTTCTTGAAAAGCGCAAACTATATTGCCAGTGAAACTCTTCATGCTTACATTATAAAAGACGGCGTGTTTGCAAATCTTTCCTGAGTCCCAGTCCCCCAACCGACGTATTTTCGAAACTATTTAATTTTATCAAAAAAGGTTGTGGAACTTATAAACTAATTTTTCAAGCTCTATTCAAATCCGTAAAGATCTCACAAGTGATATAGGCACTTTAACTACATTTTGCATACGTAAATCCTAGTTAACTCAGAAATACACGACTCTGATTAGCCAATTCTGTTCTTAACTATAGTTAAAAGTTAATTTGTATTTTATATACAGCTGGCCGCAGCCAGGGCAAATTTGACAACCTTGCAATTGCTAAACCTAAAATAGAAACATGACTTGAATTAAGCTCGTGTTAAGCATTATCGACATTCGATGATGTAATTTACCCCGCGTAAGCCATAAAGCAGGATAAATTTAGGGCTTGAGAATTTTAATGGAAGGTTAATGCATTAATCCCCGCAATCAAACTAGTTCAAATCAAACAAACAAGATTTTGCGGTATAAACAGTCAGATTTCTTGATATTCATGTGACGTACTTTCAACCAATCAGATTCCGCGGAACAGATGAACGTTGACACTTGCTACATAAGATGCATTTATATGCCCAAGCCACTTAGCCAATATATTAACAATATAACAATAGCTATAGCTACACTGTTAATTTCAGGGAGTTAAATAAGCACCAAGACTGTAATTGAATCAGCACCAAATGGTGGTGTTAAATGAAAAGTGCTATTTTAACACCTAATTTGAAGCTGATTTAACTCCAATATTTTGTAAAGAAGACAATTCAGCACTGCGATTATTTAACACCCCTTTGGAAGAATTAAATTAGCGCCCACACAAGGAGGACAGGTGCTAAAACAGCACCAGAAAAAGCGTTATGATTATAATTACTAAAACAGCACTATTTTGAAGTACTGCATATCCGGCCCGTGAGCGGCCTCTTTGGTATAATTGTAAAAAAATTATCACTTAAACACTTTGAAAAGTCGACCGCAAATATATCGATCCATAGATACAACAAAACAACATTCAACTTTTAGCCCTGCATGAGGATTTTGTATAATTTTGCTGGTATGAAGGTTGAATTTTTGAGCGTTATACGTTAGCTGTGAGCGTTCATAAAATGTCTGCCCATCAGCGGATCATTCGAATTTTTGCAATGCGGGCTAGACAGGCTCAGGAAATAATTTGCTACGTTTAAAATGGCAGGGGTTTCCTGCATGAATGTATTTCTAGTTAAAATTAAATAGGGCGTGTGATGACATGAAATTTGTGAATATTTTCAGAACATGTTCTCATCATCATGCAACTTGGATGTAGAAACTGAAACGGGAACTCAAAGGCCACATGAGTGCAACGTTTGTAATAAGAGGTTTTTTCAAACAAGCCATTTAAAAAGACATAAAAGGACACATACGAGGGAGAAGCCACATGAATGTGATGTTTGTAAGAAATTTCGTGAAAGGAGCGATTTAACAAGACATAAGAAAATACACACAAAAGAGGAGCCTTATAAATGTGATTTTTGTAAGAAGATATTTTCACATGTTAGTATTTTCGTTAATCATCAAAGAGCACACACTGGAGAAAAGCCTTATGAATGCGATGTTTGCATGAAGAATTTTTCACGTGGTAATAATTTAGTTACCCATCAAAGGACACACACTGGGGAGAAACCTTACGAATGTGATATTTGTAAAAAGAGATTTTCGCGTAGTAATCATTTAGTTAGACACCAAAGAACTCACACTGGAGAGAAACCTCATGAATGTGATATTTGTAAGAAGAGATTCTTACAGTCTGCTGGCTTAGCTAGACATAAAATGACGCACACTGGAGAAAAACCTTATGAATGTGATGTTTGTAAGCAGCGCTTCTCGCAGTATGGTGGCTTAACTAGACATCAAAGAACACACACTAGAGAGAAAGATTATGAATGTGATGTTTGCGAGAAAAGGTTTTGTACTTTTGCTCAATTGACTGGTCATAAAGGAACACACACAGGAGAAAAACCTTATGAATGTGATATTTGTAAAAAGAGATTCGCGCAATCTAATAGTGTGGCTAGACATAAACGAATACACACTGGAGAGAAACCTTATGAATGTGATATTTGTAAGAAGAGATTCTTACAGTGTGGTGGCTTATCAAGACATAAAAAAACACACGCTAAACAGAAACCTCTTGAATTTGATGTTTGAGGTTCTTCTGACATGATTATTCTTCGCACCTTAAGAATGTGAGTAAACGCAGAGTGAATAATGTTTACGGGAATAGATGTTTTCAATAAGCAGGCAGGAATTTCTTGATAACGCCCATGGAAAGAGAGAGTCCAGAGTCTAAGAAACCAGCAGCCCAGTTAGGACAAATAGTTGACAGGGTGGGAACATTTAGTAATAAAGCTTTGATTTAAACCTTAAAAAATTCTTTATTGTTTTCTTTTTCGCAGCGTGTAGCACACCGTTTAATTTGGTAAGATTCAAAATTTTTGGTGGACAACCCAATGTTACTGGCAAATCGTTTAATTTCAAAGTTGGAGAGGCAGAGCGGAATTGAAATAAGGAAAGGTAAATATTTTTCTCCGTCCAAACTAGGGTAAAATAGGATAATCGCGAATACCAAACTTGGTGTAAAATAGAATTGTGTTGCTGTGAAAAGTTCGCCGCGTAGACCTTATGACTTGCCTATATCGAGCTCCTCTATACACTGGATATAGTAAGTACACAATCGAAATCGAAACGAAAACTGTTAATTTTAAGTAAAGTAGCTAGTAGGTGCACCACGTAAGCTTAATTATCTTGTACCTACAAGCTAATTTACTTATTGATGTCACCATGATTAAAGTTTAGTATCGAATTACACCAAACATTTTGACATATATATTACATGCAATATCCCCTCGCCTAGCAATTAACATATATTTCCAACTGCGAAATGTTCTTGAGCCTCAAACTCAACTATATATGCGCTACGAATAGGTTTAAATACTACAATTTGTAACTGCTTTTTCAACCAGATTAACCTTTAATAAACATAATTTGAAATAATTGATTTCCTAATTCCAATTAATTGAAACGAAATTGATGAATAACTTCAAAGAAATGTCATACATTGGTTGGTAATAAATACTTGTTTAAAATACAATATATGCAAATCACATTTACTGTCAAAAAACGCTCTCAAAATAGCTTTACCATACATTTAAATCAAAGTTTTCAGGTACCAAGGCACCTTTTACATTTCCTTTCACATTTTTTCTTTTCACATTCGCGAACCAATATTATAATTTAGGCAATCGCACGTTTGCAACGTTTCCTATAGCTCCCTGTTTAAACTTGTATTGAACTCACGCATGTGCATAACTTACAAAAACGCTCAACATAATAATAATAATGCATGTTTAATTAACCGTATTGCAGTAAAAACTGAATTACACGGAAAGAATAATACCTAATGTCCAACATATGAGAAATTATTAACATAATAAAAATTAAAAATATTTAACAGTTATAAAATTTTTTAAACTTTCGGTGTGCGCAAAGGGTCTCATTGATGAGTTATGTCTTAGATTGTAATTATGATCATGACCACCAATGTAATTCTTTGCATCGAGAATGTAAGAGAGTGAATTATCATTATTAAGTTGTTCAGCGTTTCTCAATTTATGAACAAATACCACGCAAGCAGTATTTCGACGACTTTTAAGATTATCCAAACCAGAAAGAACCAAAGCTTCACGATACGAGGCAAAAGGGAAGATAATTTTAAGTGCTCTCTTTTGGAGTTTGGACTGACTCTAGTAGGACAGATAAATACTCGGTTAAGTCGGACCAGGCGGGAGAGGCATATTCGACCACAGATCTGACCATGGAGCAATATATATGAACGAGATCTTTCTGGCACAATCCACTCTTTTTTAGTAAGCGCAAGGCATATAAGCGGGAATTAGCTTTTTTTAAGATTTTCTCAATATGGCAATTCCACGTAAGATCATCTGACAGAAGGATTCCAAGTAGTTTAAAAGAAGTCACTCTCTCAACACAGGCCACATATATAAAATTGGATGAAAATTAGTTGTACTGAATCTAAGAAAGGATACGACCATTTCTTTACACTTCTTTGGATTTAATTGCATACCTCAATTGCTAGCAAAACTGGACATTTCATTGGCAACGAGACGTAAATAACTCATCGAACATCGAGGGATAATTTCACAAGCTGTAGCATCGTCGACGAATTTAATTCTACCTTGCCAGTCTTTAAGCAAAGAGTTAACCAGAACAGCAAATAGTAAAGGGCCCAACCTAGTTCCTTGCGGTAACCCCACCATTAACTTCTTCGAGGACGATGTAAAATGTCCGATTTTGACACATTGTTGTCTTCCAGTTAAAAAGGATTTGATCCAGCGCAAGATGACAGGGTGGACGTCAAGACACTGGAGCTCTGATACTAAGACATTGTGATCCACAAGATCAAAACCCTTTTTAAAATCTGCAAAGATTTTAAACTATCCACTATCCACTATCCATACTAGCTCTTATATGGTGTAACAGATAAACTAAAGCTTGGGTCGTTGACTTTCCACTCATTGCAAACTGTTTATTATCCATTTTCCCACTTGACTCGGGGGTCATCGAATCCAACATAAACCCTTCCATAACTTTTGCAATTTGGGCAGTAAGTGAAATTGGTCGTAAATCTTCCTCGATTAGATTCGGTATCGGGGTCTTTGGGATCGGTACAACAAAGGACCGCTTTAATTTCAAAGGGAAAACTCCTTGTATCAACAATGAATTGTAAATATTAGATATCACTGGTGCAAGTTCATACGAGAAAATTTTCATAATCTTGTTGGGGATATTATCAGGTCCAGATGATTTGTTAACTTTAATCCGACATAGAGCGGAACAAACTCGATCGGTATCCATCAATAAATAGCTGGGAACCTGGTGGATTTCATCAGTATCGTCGTCAGGGAGATCAGGGTTTAAAGGAGAAAAATAGGCAGTCAAATTAACAAGAAAGTTGTTATACTGTTCAGCAATATCTAAGAAAGACGGACGAGTATCTGAAATCAATTGATGAAGCCATGATTGTTGACTAGAGACTCCACCCAACTTCTTCACTTCTCTCCACCACTTTGCAGGATCCCTGTTTCGCAGTTTTTTACCAAGGCTCTCATAAATTTTTCGCGCGCAGACTGTACTCCATATTGAACTTTATTTCGCAAATATCTAAACATTAGATGTTCCGCCATATACTGTAAGAGCACGTTGACGTTTTTGAATCATCAACTTAAGCGACGAAGTAACCCATGGTTTGTCACATTTTCGTACTCTAGATGACTTTACTGGAAAATAAAGATCAATCATTGTTCTCGTGATATCGTCGAATTTTTCATATTTTGTATCGCAATCATCCGTTTCTAAAACTTCCCTCCAATTAAAACCTGAAATCCAACGACCAAAGGATCTTAAATTACTATCCCGCAAATCTCTAAGCATAATACTATCGTTGCAAGGTTTCTGTGCACGACGAATATACGAGGAGATCATTACTGCATTGTGATCACTTGAACCAACAGGTGGAAGCTGGTCTGTTTTTATACCGATATGGTCCAAATTGGTAAGGCACCAATCTAGGATAGACTCGTTCCTTGTAGGAAACTTAATTATTTGATGTAAGCCGGTAAAATGTCTAAGCAACACCTGTAATCATAACGAGGGCGTCTGGATGATCAGAGAGAAAAGTATCCACATTACTTTGAATATGATTATATAGCTCTTCGTTGTCTTGCACAGAACGTGATGTACTATGATAGATCACAGCAATCAAAATATTGACACTTCTCGAGGCAAATGGTTCGGACGAACTGACAGCCATAAGGACTCAATCATAGGGTTATCAAATTTACTAATTCTATGAGTTTTAAGCTTCGAGTTGACATAAATACAAACTCCCCCGCCAATTGTAGATATACGATCATTCCGGTAAAGTAGGAACTCGGTATTGAAACTGTCGTATCAGAAATTTTATCGTTTAACCAGGTTTCTGTAATACACATAATGTCTAACAAGTTGATTTCGGAAATAGCAAATAATTCATCAATTTTATCATTCAAGGATCGAACATTAGCCACCAACAATTTGGGTAAATAGATGTCATGGCAGTTTTTATTCATATTCTTACTCTGGGATATCTTGTTGGATTCGGTATTGGTGGTGGGTACGGGTTGAGATAACTTATGAACGGATTGAACAATGGGTATTGGGGGCCAAATGGAAAATTTTGATAGGGTATTGCATTTTGTGGTGGCAAGCAAGGCTGAGGAGGAATAAATTGCCGATATGGTCGGGAAGATTGAATAGGTTGTAGAGAGTTATGTTTATCATGGAAAAAGTCACAATTTGAGCCTTTTAAACAATAACCCCTTTTACGAAGGAACGGACATGCATGGGACAAGGTGTTCAGGAGGCAAGGCACTGTTTGGATTACCATCAAGAGTAACGCGAGCTAGCGTTGCCATTGCCTTGAGATAAAGCCCCATTTTCAATTTGGGATATGGGATTACTCGCTTCACTGACCATATTTAAATCGTTTGCATCATAGTTTGGTGTATTAGTCAAAACAATATTTTCGCTTGGACTTTGGTTGCCATTATCCTTATTACTGTGAATTAAACCACTCGGCAAATTCATGATAGCCTCGGACAAACGAACAACTGACTCCGAAAGCGATCGAAGTTCTTCATTGCTCAAGTTTTGATCTTCTTTTATAGTGTGCAACTCAACGCGTAAATCCTCACACTTACAATCACATTAATACCTGTTTGCCAGTCATCCTGTGGACTAGAAAATTTTATGCCCCTCTGGGGACCTGTGTCAAGAAACATGAAATCATCATAACGGGGACGCGCCGTGTGTAAACAATGTGGGGACAGTAGTTTTCTAGTGTATTCACTGTGTGGACTTTTCAAGATTCGATGTAAACAATGTGGGGACTGAGCAGTGAGGTAGACCTTCATGGAGATATATTTTTATTGACAATAAAAACTTTAATTCTTAACATGCAGTGTCTTTTTACTGTCTATCACACATGCATTTTGTCGAGTAAACATGGTTCGTTTTAATATAGCTAAACTACCTAAATATTCCTTAATAACTCTTGATAACTTTCTCTTTTTTAAACTTAAATTTTTATA